GCAGTACAAAGTGTCGACTCGGGTTCAACACGATAGTCTGAGCTTGGAATACCCGCGATTCGCGACGTCGCGCATTATTTTTGCTTCGATCGACCTTTTGCATATCAGTGATTTCGACTTTATAATGACTGCACAATCAGGAATCGTGCAGGATGTGGAAGTGGTTGTCAAGGTACGATGCAGTGACCATAGAATGGTACGGTCTCGAATTCGCCTAGACTTGAAGAAGGAACGACAGAAACTGATACGCAAGAAGCCAATCAATGAGCTAGCACTGAGAGGGAAAGTACAGGAATTCAGAGTGTCGCTGCAGAACAGGTACTCGGCTCTTAGTGAGGAAACCAACCTTAGCGTAGATACAATGAATGATAATCTGACGAGTATCATTACGGAGTGTGCAGTGGAAGTTGGAGGCAGGGTAGTAAGACAGGACACTGGCAAGCTTTCCCAGGAAACGAAGAACCTAATTAAGAAGCGTCAAAGCATGAAAGTGTCAAGTACAACAGACAAAATAGAACTGGCAGAGCTTTCGAAGTTGATTAATAGACGTAAAGTATGCGATGTAAGAAGGTATAACATGGAGAGAATTGAACACGCTCTGAAAAACGGAGGAAGCGTCAAAGCAGTGAAGAGGAAACTTGGGATAGGCAAAAGTCGGATGTATGCACTAAGGAACAAAGAAGGCAAAATAACTACCAATATGGATAGGATAGTTAAAATAGCAGAGGAGTTTTACAGAGATCTGTACAGTAGCAGAGACAACCACGACCTTAATACTATAAGAACTAGCAGTAACCCAGAGGACACCCCACCAGTAATGATAGAAGAAGTCAGAAAAGCTTTGGAGAGCATGCAAAGAGGCAAAGCTGCTGGTGAGGATCAGGTAACATCAGATCTGCTGAAAGATGGAGGACAGATTGTGTTAGAAAAACTAGCCACCCTGTTTACGAGGTGTCTCCTGACGGGAAGGGTACCAGAGTCTTGGAAGAACGCTAACATCATCTTAATACATAAGAAAGGAGATGACAAGGACTTGAAGAATTACAGGCCGATCAGCTTGCTCTCTGTAGTATACAAGCTATTTACAAAGGTAATTGCTAACAGAGTAAAGAAAACATTAGAATTCAATCAACCAAAGGAACAAGCAGGATTTCGAACAGGCTACTCGACAATTGACCACATTCATACTATCAATCAGGTAATAGAGAAATGTTCAGAGTATAACCAACCACTATACATAGCCTTCATAGATTACGAGAAGGCGTTTGATTCAGTAGAAATATCAGCCGTCATGCAGACACTGCGGGATCAGGGCGTAGATGAAGTATATATAAACATCCTGGAAGAAATCTACAGGGGATCAACTGCTACCATAGTGCTTCATAAAGGAAGCAACAGAATACCAATCAAGAAGGGTGTAAGGCAGGGGGACACAATCTCCCCAACGCTATTTACCGCGTGCCTACAGGAGGTTTTCAGAAACCTAGAATGGGAACAGTTAGGGATAAGAGTTTATGGAGAATACCTTAGTAACCTGCGCTTCGCCGATGACATTGCATTGCTGAGTAACTCAGGGGACGAATTGCAACTCATGATTACGGAGTTAGACAAGGAGAGCAAAAAGGTGGGTCTTAAAATTAATCTGCAGGAAACGAAAGTAATGTACAACAACAACAATAATAATAACTTCTTTGTTTCCATCAACGATGAAGGAGACCGCGCGTTAAAGTCGCTGGAAAAACAAGCAACTTGACAGGGGCCCGCAGCCACCTCTGCAATGCAGGCAGCGGCAGCACATATGATAAGACAGAAACAAACAAACAAAAAAATACGGCTAATTCATACATAAACAGTTACATTAGCATATTTAACTTATTGCCCTCACATCAATTCACCATGCCCATTTCTGCAGTTTAAAAGCTTGTTATGCTGGCTTATATGCGCCAAGTACAGTAAATTTTACAAAGTAACATATTTTATAGGTTATCACTTGCGTTCTACCAATAGTCAAATCCGGCTACTATTCGAAGTTGTTTCTACTTCCTTTGAGCTAAAAGAATGGCATTTGCAGAGGCCTTGCATCATTTTTAAAATATATTTTGCAGATCAGTTGGGTAATGACAAATATGCCCACTTTTTTTTTTTTTTCAGCTTAAAATTATTCGAACCAAGTCACTGTTCGCTTCAAACCTAAAATTTACTATTCGCACAAGCGTAAAGTTGACCCATCACAACCCCATTTCCTTTTTTTTTATGGACTTGTGTCCATTTCCCCAATGTCCAGGGAGCACATGTTGCCTTATGCTTTGAGGTGGTGCCAAAGGCAATAAAACATTTTGTATTGTGTAGAGATGACGCTGCACAATCGGCTGCATGGTGCTTTTGCTAGTAGTGCATGTGTAGAGTTGCACATATGCTTATGCAGGTGACGGCGGACATACCGTATTTACACGATTGTAAGACGACCCTTTTTTTCAAATTTGACAATCCAATGTTGGGGGGTCGTCTTAGAATCGAAACCCATGTATTGTCATCTCGAATAGTTTCCCGCTCAACCCAAAGCGCATAGTTTTCCGCGTGCTTATACAAAAGCTTTTCTTTTTTTAGCATCTATTGCGCGCATTACGAGTGCCTTTATGACGAGCGCACGGCTCTTGAGGGAGCACCGGTAATCGATGGAAGAGCCGCCGTAGGGGGGTATTGGTAGTTGACGGAAGAGCTCCTCTTTGTGATACAATTTTCTAAGCGGGCGCGTCGCCGCCTGCTCCTGTCGCTTGTGTCCCCGACCGGCTCTCTCGAGTCACTTCTGTCTGCCATGAGTGCCGTAGGCTCGAAGAACACTCGGCGCTCGTTTACGGCAGCGTTTAAGCGGGCTGCTATTCTTCATGCGGAGGAAACCAACAACTGTGCAGCAGGACGGAAGTTCGGAATCGGTCCTCTCCGCATGGGCGGCCGTCCCACGCGATGCCGTGGTGCGGTCGTTCGCGAAGTGTGGACTCACACTTGACGACGTGCTGTGGGACTGCAGCAGCAATGACGGCAGCAGCACCAGGGAGGACGACTCCAGCGACGATGAATAATCCTCCGCAACCACGTGAATAAATTTCCCTTGCGTAAAATGCGCGCGTTCTTTTTTTTTTTTTTGAGATGCGATTTTGGGGGGGGGGGGGTCGTCTTACATTCGAGTCGTCTTACAATCGTGTAAATACGGTACCCTGTGGTTTGCTAAGCCTGAATCCCCATTGGTCTCCCCTCCAATGAGTCTGGAGGTTTCCAAATGTAAATGGCGAACATTTCCCATGAAATAGAGGTTTCGATGATATATTTTGTAGAGATGGAATAAAAGCCCTCAAGGGTAACGTGTCAAGCTGACATGAAGGATTGTACACACCAGGAAAATTTTGAGTGTAAATACTTGCCAAACAAGAGTTTCGGTAGTTGCGAAATACACCTTCCACAGAGTCGTTTCAGACACTAATGAATGCCATCCCAACGAAAGACTCCATGCAAATGCTTAATAAAAATAAGGTTCCCCTAAAAATCCACCTCCGACAACTATTTCACATTTCAAGCAAATGCGCACATAGAGTTCGCGAAAATAGAGTGCGTCATCCCCTTTGGCACCTCATTCCCCAGCTAGCGTGAGTGCTGGCCCCAGGCGGTTTCAGCACCAGGAATATGACCACCGTGGTTTCGCCACCAGGCGGCGCAAGCCACGCGTCGATTTTCCCTGCACGGAGACACGTGCTCAAACATGCCCGGACAATGCCTTTGCCCTCTTGTTCCGCTAGTACATGTCACCATGACGTCACTGAGCTTAGCCTAGCCTCACTGGCCGCCAGTGACAACCCCCTGTCCTAAGGGCTTGCTAGACTGGCAGATGCTCAGAGGCCTGCACAAGAGGTGGACATGCTGCTCTAGCAGGCAGCTTCTTGCATATGCGTACGACTCCTGCCCTTAGCGTAGGGCCTCCCAGCCGTAGCGTATGCCAGCAAGTGTACTCTTGTTCGGTCTACCAGAGTTTCTCCGCTGGCCCACAACTCTGTGATTATTGCACTGTGCGGTATCTTGGGTTAATAAATCTCAATTTGTTGACGACCCGCCTCGTGTGCCTTCTCTACGCCATGTCAGAGAATCAACGAAACCTGCTGTAGCATCTCTGTGCGCGATAGCAGCGGAGAACGTTGCGTCCATTCTCAATCACGACATAGGGTAAGCTGCTCTAACAAACCTATCCCTATTAGTTCAGAATGTAAAAAGTAAAAACAGCCCAAAATAGACAAGACAAACCAAGAAACATGCAGGACGAGCGCCGACTATCAAACGAGTGTTTTATTGCTTCGATGTAATATGAAGAAAAAGGGAAAACAAGTTACGTGAAACTTTTCCTCGCACTTTTTCTACTTTATATTGCATTGAAGCAACAAAACAGTCAGTTGATGGTCGACGCTCATCCTGTGTGTTTATTAATTCGTGTAATCTATTTTTATCTTTTACAATGGTTGACCAACTAGGCCAACAAAATACACTTCTGAGAGTTTAGAATGCCATCATATGCCATCATGATGAAGAATGCCAAATGCAGCAATGCTATGTGTTCCAAGAAACAATTGCTTGTCCTCACTAGGCCATTCAGTAATGACCAGCATTGGCCATGATGTCACCATTTGCATCTGGTGATGTCATACACTAAGAGAATGTCATATACAAAGGTCTTGTCATACGCAAACAGCTCTTGCTCCTTGCACAGCAGAAAGAGCTTTGCTCGGGAGAAGAGATGCGCTTATGATGAACATAGCTTATTGAAGAAAGGACAGAAGCTAGTGGCAGGCACTTCTGGATCGTCCAATGCAAACAACTCTGCTATAATGCCACAGTTATAAAGAATTCGTACAGCTACATGTGTTTTGAAAATGCATGTACAACTGCAACACCCAAAACTAAATTTTGACCTCTAGGCGACTTAGGCGTCCTTTATTAAGCCATGAGAAAACTCTCACCTTGGCCTTTCTGACTGATGACTGCTGAATTGAGGTCGCCCAGTTCAAGTATCTCCAGTAGATCTTTCTGGGACAGCTCAGCCCGGTCGCACAGAGCCATAGCTTCTGCGAGACCCGCTAATGTTGTCCCCAGCAGCATGTTCAGGATGAGACTCATCTTGGAGCCATTTCCCACCTCCCCTGCACACAAAGCAATATCCATGCTCAGTGGTACCCAGCACATTCTCCATGAAGGTTGTTCTGAATACTCCACAGTCGAATATGAAGCAAATGCTGTTGGATACAAACCACTAACATGGTTGGCAGCAGGGTGGAACACAAAGTATCAAAAACAAAAGACCATTTACAAAAAATTTTAAAAGCACAAACGCATGGCACCTTAACACATGCAGACACCCACACACCCAGGCATGAGCATGTACAGCACCAAACGTGAAGCGCTGCACGTGTTTGGCTGGGTGACTGTGTGCTGCATGTGTGAAGGTGTCATGTCTTTGCACTCTCATTATTTTTTTGAAAACGATCTACCAAGAACTGTTCTTTTACATAACAAAAGACAATGGCAGGAAAAGCGGGTATACAACCAAATGGCACGAAGACACAATTTAACAGCACAGACGCATAAAAGGAGTGTTTTGTATATACATAGTAGGTGTGTGCAAATATTCAAAATTTAAGATATTTTCCTAATAGTGTTTGCTGTTTTATTTGATACGCACTAGATTTTTTACTATTCGCACTTCCCAATGACATATACAGTCAATGTCAGATTAGAAATGATCTCATTCAAATTTTCAACATGCTTCACTTCATCACACCATCATATTGCGGCATAGCTGCCCTTTATGCTTCGCTATGGCCGCATGTATCGACTTTACAAAACGCTTCTTCTAACATGAAGATGATAGATGTGGCAGAAGTGGGGGCTCAATCAAGGCTGTTTCAGACCTGAAATTTGAGCAGCAAGTTCAAGAAATCGGATGCCAAAGATGTTTGGCATTGAAAATTTCATGTTTTTAAATACATATGAAAGTTTATGAGGCGGATTTAAAGCTCTGCACTGGAAGAGAACATAAGCTTGTTTGCCACATCAGTTTGACAGAAGGTGAAAGAGGAGGGGCTTAGGAAATAGCATTTTTGCCATTCACGTATAAAAGTGTTGTTCGTAACACCAAATCATGCACATAAATAGAATGTGGCCTCTGCATTGCCTCATTCTTGGTAAGACAACTATGAAACACCACCCCACCAGCACTTCATTAACCTAGTGAAAAGAAACACTTACATGTTGAAGAAGACGGGCAAATTGAGTAAATGGTGAGGTTTTACGGTAAAAATATAAAAACAGCACTTTTTTAAACACAAAATGAAGGAAAATGGGACGCACATGGCACTGAACTTGCAACTGGTCTAACGAAACAATGACACATACTTTTTCCCTCAAGGCGAGTGCACGTGCTTAATGCCAAAAATGATTCACACGTGAAACCGTGAGGCACATCCTCATGCGTGCTCCTTCGTCACTACTGCTTAACAGGCCCATTTCCTTTGACGATAATGCCAGGGAAGGTTTGCTAATGCAATCCCTTGCTTTCCCTGAAATGTGGAATGCCTCAGCCACGTTTATTTTGTGGCTGTCATTATGAATAAGATTTTTGTGTCAACAGAAAAACGACACACACTGACACTAAGAACGGTGCTTGAAAAAGTTAGTTGATTTCTTTTGTAATGAATACTTGTGTTCAACGAGTCTCATATTCATGCACTGGTATGTTCGCCCTATATATGTACATCTGCATGACAAAGGTATCTGGTACACAAAAACGATTTTACATGGTCCTAACTTGATAACATTTTTAGTAAAGCAGCTTGTGCTTTTTCGCGATGCCTCTATCTTCCTTTGACCTGCAGCTCCCACCTTGCCCACTTTATTAGGAGCAGAAAACAGTGCCTCAACACTATACCTGGCCCCTACTTTCCGAGACTTGCGGGAAAAAAAACACACACAAGGCATACCTTTTGATAACTGTCATCAATATTAATGCACTGCTCTAAGTAGAACTTTGACAGTTTCAATGTTTTCATTAATCATTGTAGGATAAGCGAGTTGATACCAGTCAGATTATTATTCATTGCACTAATGCTAACGTCCGTTTACTGGTTATAGCTGTAAATCTATTCTGAAGCGAAACTCTGACTTCCTGTACTTTCCCAGTCTCAGTGCTAGCTCATTATTGGCTTCTTGCCTATCAGTTTCTGCCATTGCTTTCTTACGACTAGGCGAGTTCGAGCCCTTACCATTCTGCAGTCACTACATTCGATCTTGACAACCATTTTCACATCCTGTACAATGCCCAAGTGTGCACACAGAATGAAGTCCATTTCCTTTTTGGTTTCTCCGTTAAGACTCTTCCACATCCACTTACAGATAGCCAATTTTCTATAGAAGGTATTCAAAATTCGTAAATTATTACATCCTGCGAACTCTACTATTAACTTCCCTCTGGCATTCTTAGAGCAGATGCCATGTTCCCCCCCTGCATGGTCTTCAGCCTGCTTTTTGCCTACCTTGGCATTAAAGTCAAGCTATTGGCAAAGTATACTGTGTTTTCACTTTATTAATTGCTGTCTAAGTCTTTATAGCAACGGTATAAAAATTAATGACTATGATGGTTGAATGCAGCCGCATAGGCCTGTACCACCTTCACCTTCTACCTCTCATTAGACTTAATTGCGGTACTCATGGTCTTGACACGTTCGCACAATGTGATGACAGTGGGGTGGCCCAGGGTCTGTAAAGTACCCACACTCACCCAATAAAGCTTTTCTTCCTCCTCCTTGCCACACACTCACAAACGCTATAGTATACCTCTATGTTGCCAGTTATATTTTTATAAATAAGGAACCTCCTCCCTAGCTCTTTTCTGCCACACCTACCTAAACCACGATAGCATAGGACGTGTCCGCTCCTAAGCAGTGTATAAGCCTTATGTGTCCTCTTGAATTCACTGAGGCCTATTACATTTCATTTAACACCTTCTAACTCCTCAAATAACACAGCTAGACCCGCCTTACTAGATGACATTCTAGCGTTAACCGTGGTAAAGTTCAGATTCCGATGGAGGCATGCCCAGACCCAAAGATTCTTAGCACCCTCTGCTGCATTGCAGGTCTGACCACCGCCCGAGTCAGTTGCTTCACAGCTGCTAGGGACTGAAGGCCGAGGATTAATGTGGGAAGTTGTGGCCAAGTACTGCACCAGATTGGTCGATTCTGCTCTGGAGAGGGAATGCATTACTGGCAGTGGTCGTCAGTGAAGCCGCACCCCAGGCCTTTGCCATACTATTAAATACCAAGTTTTATTTTCTTGCTTTCTGCTGTTCCTGTAATAAACAACACTAAAGCTATGTTTCATTTTTTATTAACAAGAGGCCTCCTGACATAGTCATCTTAGGGCCATGAATGCAAATATTTTAAAGAGCTGTGCGCATGCACACTTCTTAATGATTTTCTCCTTTACATGCTACTTCAGACATTCTGACACCTTCGTAGCTCCAAATGAAAGCGAGCAGCCATCACTCCTCCAGTGTTGATGAGAAAACTCTCTTAACTTCGATAAAGACACTAACAGTTAATTAATTTTGCAAAACAGAAATGCCAGATACACTGATCCAAAAGAGTGCTACGGCACACACTGATCACGAAAGTCATTCAATGCCTCTATAGGTTTTCAGGTACTGTCAGCCACCAGTAAATTGTGAAAATAAATTGAACGTCACTACACATATCTTAGTTGAAAGGCATCCACTTACCCAAGTAGAATGCATGCCTGCCAATAGCCTCGAAGCAGCTGGCACAGTCGTTGAAAAGTGATCGGTCACCAGCGGCCAGGATGATGAGGGTACCATCCTCGGCAGGCTTTTTTGAGCCTGAGACTGGTGCTTCCAGGTACCGCCCACCTCTGAGCATGATAGCCTAGAATCAAGGATTACGTTACATGTGAACAGGATTCTTACAGCAAGAGATTGAAATTAAAGTCTAGGTATATCTTAGCCTCTATATTGACAGAGATAATGCGTTTAGTGATGCATGTTTCTCTGATGCCGAAGCTGCTGTTTGAAATACCTGACATGTGTGCCACATCCTAGTTTCTGGCATTACCCTCCTACAACTGCTGTGATTTCTTTCAACTGCCTTTACTATTGCCCACTCTACGAGTCAGACAAGAACCTAAAATTGAAACCAGTAAGTTCCAGTTTCGTTCCGATGGCAGAGAAATAAAAGTCTGGGTTTGTCAAAGCTGAATTCCATTTGGTTCAACACCCTAATTATCACCAGAGAACTTTCTGTAGCTGATGCACAAGCACCAAGGCTGGTTGTGTTTTTTGGCCAAGCTGCAACATTGTTTGCCAACTGTTAAAGGGCCAGTTACCAGGTTCACACTTTTTTTCTACACCCCTAAACAAGCTTGCAAAGTTGCACTATAGATCATGATGATCACATTTTCTAAATATTACAGCGCTGAAAGCTGCGCAAGTCCATCCGTTTCAAAAATCAATTTCCATGCTTCTTTCCTTTGTTTCACTAATCTCCCTCGTACGCACGGAGACGTAAATATTGCCCATGGGCATCTCAACGAACGACAGAGCTCCTCAATATGTTCTTTGCCCTACAATACGGCGCCCTGGCCCTGTGGTAATGCAGTTTTGTAGAGCGCGAGACAACCGAGAGAAGCTGTATTGCCAGAATGAAAGCTTTCGAGATAAAGAAGCACCCCGCTACTATATCGCCAGGCTTAGGGTGCTCCTCGCATCGCGCTTCCTCTCTGCGCAACTATGAAACATGCTCATATGGGGAAAGCCGTGCTCAGTTGTTGGTTGCACATCGACGAGGTTTCGCTGACACTGCATCATGTTGCCAAAGTGGGCAGGAGTCACTATGACAAGCTACACCTTCTCCTTCTAATAGTGGAAAGGGGTGAAGCCAAGCGAAAATTTGAGACCCAGCTGAAATGGACGTTCTAACACCTGTAACTTTCTCCTTACGGCAGATATAAAATTCTTGTGGCAGCATGTTCATGCAGCAAAAAGTGTGCATATTTCTCTTCATTAAGGTAAATGCATAAGAATACATGCGCCGCTGTAGGACATTCTTGAAATGATACCAATGATGTCAGATCAACCGCCTACAATTTATCACTAGTAATCGATCTGCAGCGCTATCACACAACTGGGGAACCTATTGACACTTGCCACTTCAAGCGACCGCATGGAGCGCGCCCTTTCCTGAACCCACTGCCCAGTATATTTTTGCCCTCTCCTGAACACACTGCCCAGTACACTATAGCATTGGTGCACTCATGAGCTCCCAGTCCCCATAATTCTCGTGCCACTCGACGAAAAGATTCCGTGAAGTGGTGAAGATTGCATGTTTAGCAAGAAACATTAGTTTTGAGTTGTTTTTTTTTATGGCCCACCTAGCAGGTATTGCATGTGTGCTTTTTCTGGCTTAAGGATCATGCATTTCGTGGTGTGGAGGGTGGTGGAGGAGTGCTTGCTGGCTAATCACAATCAGGCTGAAAAGCTGTTGAACAGGCTCTTCACATGCAATATTAATGCAGTGGAAGAAGAGCACCATCCCTAATTGCACACATCGCATGTGGACGTTATATTAGAAAATCATCTGATCTAATTTATCAACTCTTAGCATGCCAGCACTGTAACCGTGTATAAGCAATGTCTTCACCACAGAAATTCAGGCAATTACACCCTTTTTCCTTTTTTTTTGCTGTGATATCATTAACTGTACGGAAAGTAATCATCATGCTGACAAAACTAAAGTTTTTCCACTGAATGTGCAAGGTAATGTGATCAGTGAGCTATCTAAAGTCAACGTGTCGCAATTTCTTTCCCCATCATGCATCTTTAAGCCAGAAAACCTCGGCGATCTTTTTATGAAGATACGAGTAAGCGGCGTAAAGCTTACCATCCATTACAGAGGGCTCAGCCATCATTCATCATCAGCTTCAGCAGCAACAAAGTGACCAACTATGTAGGTACATGCACTGCTTTAAAGACGCAGTCGGTACTTAGCTAAAGTATGCACACATTCCAAAAATAAATGCAAAGACAAAAGTACTCCCATGAAGTGTTCATAGGATCGATTTAAAGCAAACCAAATACAGTTGCTAGTACAAAATGCAGATCATCATCTATAAGGCTAGACTTACTAATGAGCACAAGCCAAAGTAGCTACAATTAATCTGGATTAACTAGTATCTAATACTGCATTTGATTTTAAAAACGCACTTACCTCTGATATGTCCTGCGATGTGTCAGGGTCTATAGATGTCATTTCTACATAGCCCTTGTTGTCTTTAATCTCGTGCAAAACACCACAATTGCCGAACACCATCTGGAGAGAAACAGAACAGACTTGCGATGATTACCTCCCATGTTGCGTCCACTTACATCAGTTACAACTGGCAAAGTGACGGGTTATTGTAGCAACGACTGAATAAACTTTGACGTACTTTAGAAACAATGGTATTACGACTTCCTTTGCTTTTCTTCGTCTAAACGGCTTCATTGCTTTGGCATTTTAAATAATGCATCAAAATGTGCGAACATGCGTACAAGTGTAAGCCTCTTATCTGAAGAAAATTCCACATAAATCGGTCTTGTTAACCCTTTGAAGATTGAAATATTTTGCCAAGTGCAACAGTTTACGATAAATGTTCGTTAATGCGTATCCAAAAATGTTTACAGCGATTATGAAGAGAGAAAAAATATTTTCCATAGGTATAAATGCATTGTTTCCCATTGCCATAGTCAAGGTGGGGGGTTTCCATACGAGGTTTTTCAATTTTGCTTGTGTATATTTATATATGCGCACGTACAAATACACACATAAAGTAGGTTTGAACCCCTCCTTTTCTGGCCATGCCCCTGCTGTTTATTTTTGCATAATGTGTAGAATGTGCAAGTTGAAGGGCACATGAAAAAGCTGCAAGGGAAGAGAATATAAAAACTTGCTTACCTCCTTGGCTGCATGAGAATTTGATACACAGCAGAAGGTGATGTCAGATGCTGCCACAACATCGGCAGGGGTTAAACCCTTGACCGCACCCGCTTTTACGAAATCTCGGCACTGCGCATGAAGAGAAAAGCGACAGATATTTAACTAATGCGAAGTATATATAAAGGTATATATCTCCATAGTTTCATAGGTATAATAACATTATTATTAATAGCTGAGTTTTACACGACAAAACCATGAAATCATTGCGAGAGATGCCGTAGGGGAGGGCTCCGGAAATTTTGTCGGTCTGGAGTTCTTACACTGACATTGGACAGTCCAGGGGGTCACCCGTTCCACCCCTATCGAAATGCGACCGCCACGAGCGGGATCGAACCCGCGACTTTCAGGTCAGCAGTCACAAACATCTTAGATAACTAGGCAAATCCGAGTGCTACCCATCATTCACACGGTAGCCGAACCATCGCGGTGCCAGAGTCCCCTATAGCCAATGTTAAGAAACTTTAGGGTCACTCCTATGGTTTCACTCTCTCCAGTTGTGGACAGCGGCCAGACTTCTACTACAGTTTTTATGCCAATGACCGATATATAAGACAGAGGTCAACTTTTTACGGTTGTTTTTTGGGTGAAACAAACAATAAAAAAAAGTTAAACCAATGTTCTGGTTTCTAAGGCAACATGAAGCTGTGTTTTTATCTAATAGGTGTCCTAACATATTTTTACAAAACTAGAAACTGCAAGCCCCTTCAGAAATTTAAACATAAATTGCATGTTTCACTGTATTAACTTACCACCTTAACTACAAACAATACTTATTTTGGAACGACATTGAAAAATGTGCTGCGAGTAGTTTTGAAACTTTCTACCATAAGTACTAAAAGTTACTTTATTACATTTGTTGTATTAGGATCCATCCTCAATAAAATGTTACTTCTTGTTTACTCAGCAGGTGTAAACATTTTTTTCCCCTCCAAAATTATTTTGATAACTTGTTGATCAACAGATGATTACTGTTGAACTGAATACTGTGCTGTACATCTTTGCACATAGAAAGGACGCGCAAAAGCCAGCAATGTCTCAAGGGGTCTTCGCACCCGATACAATAGCCTCACACAAGCTGTATTGGCCTCGAGGTCAAAAATAGTCATTACCTAGTTTGTCTGCTAGTCACGCCATGTTTGCATGTGGGCAAACATCATGCACATCCTCAACAGGCAGCTTATTCCGCTGTTTTAGGACAGTATCAAATGCTTGACTACCGTCCTACATGATACGAAGTGTGTCAGATAAGTATCTGAGTTTTGGTGGAAGAAAAAAAAAAAAAAAAAAAACTGGCATAATTGGAGTGTTGAAAACCTAATCCCTATCAAAGTAGGCCTGAAAGTAGGCCCGCGACCTGAAAGTCGCGGGTTCGATCCCGCTCGTGGGGGTCGCATTTCGATAGGGGTGGTACGGGTGGCACTCCACACACTTCTCCCAGCGGTGCTGCCTTTCTTGGAAGCATTCTGAGAAGGCCTCATTTGGAATGGAGTTTAGCTCAGCTGTCGTTGTAGCCATAAAGTCCTCCCTTGTCTGAAATCGCTCTCCTTTCAATGTCCTTTATAATAATGTTTACAGCGCAAGCACGAAAGTGCTGGAAAGAAAGCGAACGGAAGGCAAGGAACCACGAAATTTAACCAACTAGCCCAAATAGACGTTTTTTTTTTCATGTTCTCTTGAGTTTGGGAAACAGCCAAAAGCTAAGTAGAGTAAGGAGCCTGTTTAACTACAGTAGTTCGTCTTTTCACCCAAAAAAAAAGTCTCAACCAAGTGTGAGGAATGTGCAGGAGCATTGTCTTGATGGATGTGCCAGTTTCCTGTTGGCCACAACTCGGGCCTCTTGCGCCGCACAGCATCATGCAGGCGATGGAGGACTTCTCTGTGGTGCTCGCTGATGATCGTTTGACCATACGGTGCTTACTCATGGTGTACCACACCGCGGGAGTCGAAGAAAGCACTAAGCATCAATTTAACATCAAATCCTGGGTCATCAGAGAATGTGAAAAAGAAGTGCTGCTTCTCACCTCTTCTTCAATTTCCCAGATAGTCACACGACGGTCCCGCATCACCACCACGTTTACTTCGGCAATGACCTGGTCATTTTGGTATGTTCATGGCCAACTGGAGCGTGGCTCGCTCTACACCAATGTGCGGCCGTCATCAAACCAGTTGTTCCACTCCCTAATCTGTGTGTGGCTCATAGCGTCATCACCGAAAACCGTCTTGGCTTTCCGAATGGTTTCCACTTGGCTGTCGCCCAGTTTCTGGCAAAATTTGATTGATGCGCCCTTATTTGAAATCCACCAAGTGCTCAAAAAAAAAAAAAAAAAATTGTGTGTGTGTGTGGGGGGGGTTATATACTTTTCTAAGAGACCTTGTATACATAAGTATTTCGATTTTTAAGGCATGCTTGCAGTACGGAATCAAGTGTAATCGTAGTACATCCATTCACCACCATCATTTTAATTGGGTGCTGCTTTGCAATTCAAGCATATAACAATGTACATTTGGCGCCATCCTAAATAAAAGTGCTAAATGTCGAGGTTTGAATGTCTGATAGCTGCACTACCATTTCTTTTACAGTGCGGTTTATTTTGTACCCATCTCAGTCAAATTGATTGCCTGATGTTCAATTTATCGCACTCGTATACTAACATGACTAGGTATACTTTTTGCACTGTTGTCAACTTCATTTGTATTAAGGTAATACCTGGTCAGACGTTTCTTGTATTGCTTTGTAAGGCACGATGATTGTTAGAATTGCTGACTGTAGTTTATGATCTTTATTTGGTAAACCAATGCCTTTTTTTTAAATATTTAGAACAGTATAGTCTGTTTATATTTTCTGCATATTGTTACGTTCACTATACCGCCCACCCCTGCCCAACGCCTGGCATTCAGATTGGCAGTACTGTCCTAAAAAATAAATAAATAGATGTAGTGATGCCATCTCACAAGGTGCTGGCCACATTGAAACTCGTGATGCCACAAAACACAAACTAGCATCCAGCAGAGTGACTTGTTGGGCGAGTTGGTTCATTTCTTAACGGGCTTATGGCGTGGGAAAAAAAAAAAAAACACAAAAGAAGGACAAGCGCAAGGAACTAGTAATGTAATTCACTAGCATCTGCAATATAGTTAAGAACAATGCGTTGGCGGGCTAGTTGGTGCGAATACATGGCGATGTTTTGTTCTAGCATGAGACAACACCACAAGAAAGACGACAGGACAAGCTGCTGGCCTCATTTTATTTCTTAGGGGGTCGTTTTGTGCTTTAAGAAAAAAAAAAAAAAAGAGAGAGGGGATAGGGTGCAAAGGAGGTTCACAGTAAAAATACCTCAAGTCATGCAATTCCATAGCAGTATACAAAGTTATACTTTGACTGCTGTAAAATCCCAAATAAGCAGCCTACCCAAGCAAGCAAGCCCCCCCGCCCAATCATCAATGCTTGAGCAAGAGCCTCTCCCCTCCCACCATTTTCACTGCTTCTATTTGAGCATTGAGAGCGGATAACTACAGTGAATGAATGTACCTTTAATAAAGCATTTCACTGACAGTGTAGGTGTGTACTCTAATAAATTAAACTTAAGGGCACTTCTGCAGCCATCTTGAATTCTGCCAAGTACCTCCTCTGCAATTCTTGTCTGAAAATCATTTTTATCGGCGGGGTAAGGGGCTTAAAATCCCAGCGCTTGTCTAGGATATTAGGTAATACTTAACAGATGAAAAGTTGGAAACTGTCTCATCAGAGGTTCTTCAAACTGATCTACAGCTCCTATCCCTTCCAAGTTTTTGCTTTCGTTGCTTTAGAAGCTAGATAGCTTTAATTAATTAAAGAGGCACTAAAGGCATTGTCGAAATAGCAGTCCAGAAACTTCAGTGTTATTTTGTATCAAGAAAGTGCTCATTTTGAAATAAAATTATGTTTTAGTGGTTTGCATATTGGGTTAGCACAGTTCAAGTTACCCGCCCAAGTGGAACGTCCCACGTCACTGTTGTCACTAACAAAGTTGCCTGGTTTTACTGCGTGGTCGCTAACACTAATAGCAGCCCAACGAAAGCAGCGGGAGCCACAGCAGCAACAACGGCCATTCAACAACTTCCTGCCGTTGATCCCGAGATGGCAGGCGTGTTTTGGCTCAACTGGGCCTCACTAGATGGCATGGGATGTCTACTGTAACCACACAAAAATTGAATTTTCGAACCACTCGTGCCATTTTCCATAGTAAAGCCCAGCATTTCTTTTTTCAAAGAATCAAACAGAAACGAACAAGCAGCATTTTATTGCATCTCTCGATGCACTGAGAGTTCTTTATCTAGTACAGCTAGATCGATTACTAATGATTAATTGTAGGCGGTTTGCCCGACGTCATCGGTATTACTTTGAGAATGTCCTATCGTAGCACACGTGTTTTCGTGCATTTATCTTAATTACTCGGTAAGTAGGGCACTGCTGTTGAAAATACTGTCGTTTAAATCTCATGCATTGAACTTTCATTCTCACATAAATAGTTTTTTGACCTCAGCGCCCTTTTAACCAATCAATCAGAAAAAAATAACGCAACTTACTCGTCAGCAACATGCATCGGATCACATCATCATAGAGCGCGTTCGCATATTTTTAAACTCTAGCCGAAGTCAGGGTACTCTGCACGCACGCACGCACGCACACACACACACACTGAACAGATGAGGAACCACAGATATTCATTATGTGTAAAATTCAGATATCGTGGGCGGCACATAATACTAGTAATTTACCGTTTTAAGATCATGAGTGTTAACAAGTGCATACACTATGTGATCTGCCCTTCACTGTCAGAAAAGGAGGCAGGAAATTGTCGTGTATGAAACACATAGGGCGGGCCCAATGCCCATCTTGCCACTGACCCCCCCCCCCCCCCCCCTCCACACGATGCGCTTCAGCAGCCCGAATAAACAGAAGCGTTTCGTTCTGAGATCGCAAATTGAGAGCTCCACAAGAGGGGGGGGGGGGGGCGGCAAAAAGCTCACGAGAGCACAATCTGACATTTTAGTAAGACAATGCTGCATGCGACTGCAGTAGGATTCCT